AAACCTTTTGAACAGAAGTGCGATTAATCAAAGGTCCTCTAGAAATCAAGCGTCTTACGCAAATCTCTGCATTCTAAGAAGGATTTTTTTCTTATTCAATGGAGGGACGTATGAGCAATTCAAAAGAACTCCGATGGATCCTGCAATATCCAGCCTAGTTAAAAAAATCGGTCCAACAAGAGCTGAAACGGTCGCCTTCAACTACTATGAACCTGTATCTTGACGCCGATACGTGGACGAAACATGCTTTATAATTCGGAGGGCAGGCTATCAGGTTTTCCGAACCTGCTAAATGGCATCTTCTCTGAAATTCAGTTCAAAAAAGAAGAGAGGGCCGAACAGTTGCCCATCCTTGACGTTTTCATCACGTGCAGACTCAGTGGGGACATTATTACCACAGCGTATGAAAAGGCAACTGACATAACCCAGGTCCTCGACTATCATAACAACCACCCGACGGTGCACAAACGCGGCTGTGTTAGGGCGTTCTTACAAAGGGTAAAAGCACACAATAACGAACCAAAGGGACGAGTAGAAGAACTAAGGCAACTTCGGAACCAATTAGTAAGGGACGGCTACTCAACCAACTTAATTGGCCGCTGCCTTCATGTGCGCCCCTGAAGAACTGAAGGAAGAGGACCACCAAAACGCTGCCGTATGTAAAGAACGTATCAGAGGCAACAGAACGTCCTGTCGCATAATTTAGCGTCAGTGTGGCCCATCCTCCGGCAGCTACCATGAGTAATAGAAACATGCAGCCGAAAAGTCCACCGGCAGCAGGTGGGGGATCGGGCGTACTTTTTCAAATCTCATGCCACAATTGTCCTTGCTGTTATAAGGCTGTATAGGACGACGACTCGGTTAGTGAATCCGCTAGCACAAACGGGCCGTCCGGAGAGGTGACCCACTGTCCGAAGTCGTTACTCACATGCTGGAGGGAGGCCACAGGTTCAAATTCCCGAGCACACGGACAGTGGCGGGAACCAGCAGTAAGACTGCGCGGAACTGTTGGAAACGGTGTCGGACAGCAACCCCACCAACGATCACGTTGATCTACCCCTGTTATCACGCGCTCCCCATTCGGTCAAATGGCTCTGCCCCGTTCCCACCCCCTTCCCCAAAAAAACTCATTTTCATCACACTCTGAGACCGCTGATTTAGGCGGTGTGAACCCAGTCCAGTCACGGACACTACCCCTCCCTCACCACTTCCTCTCCTTTATGGTTTGATGATTACGAAACTGTTAACTTGTTGTTGCACTCGCATAGCTCCTGATGATAGGCTCCTGTACGAGTCCAAAAGTCAGGCTGATAACTTACTGTTCCAGTGATCGCACGTTCATCTTCTTTGTAACATGAGTCTGGAACTCGTATATCCGTCTCCATTCGTGAGAATTGGTGGTCTTCACTTAATTAATACTTGCGTACTCACGGCCCCTCGCATTTGATAAGTATATGAAGCCAAAGCTTTATTTATTAGAGTGGAGACTCTTCAGCGAATATACAAGCAGGAAATAACCACAAATAAACACATTGTCGCTCTAAAAGGGACGGGCTTGATCGCTCATTGGGCTGCGGTCTAAAAGTAACGAGTACAGCAGTGGCTCTCCGTGATATATGCAGGGGAGGTTTTTAGTTACGAGCTGAAGCACCATCCCCCAGAGAGCTGGACATAGTTTTGAGGACGCTGGGTAACCTAAGGACTTGAGTTGCCGAGGTCTGCGCCCGCTATTTCACTTTATCGTCATTTAAAAACGTCATAAAGGCCAATAGTTGAGCTCCCGCGCTTGGTTTTGACCAACTATCCCGGTTCCCGCCTCGTACAGAGAGTCTGCCAAGACTACAGTCCTGCATACCTTTTGTTAAGAATGTCCTGGTGATGCCATACAGAGGAGTGAAATCCAATGAATACCTAGCTTGCTTCATAAATTTTGTCATGAATTTTCTATTTGGCTCTTATACTTTCAAGATAAGAGCAGTTGTTCACGATGGTGTAGCAGATGTGGTGGCTGATATTTAAGGGTACTGCGTATACCTCGGTGGGTGATGGTTGGCGTGCATGGGACAGGCTGTTCCACAGGTCTTGATGTGCGTCGCATATGGTATGCTGGCACCTACCTCACATCCATGGCTCTACGAGGCTATGCTCTGCCCGGTTGTCCATTCCGGTAAACACTGCGACCGTCAAGATAGAGCACTTGAAGTGGATTTCCCCATACATATGCGAAAGCTCTGGTTCTGTCGGTAGAGAAGGACCAGTCGTATTGTGGCGTGCAGGGACAGAGGCCTTATGCTCGGTCGGCCACAGCCCTGCGTCTCCCACTCCCCACACAGGAATACGAATATGCTGCGTAAAAGACGACTTACAGCCCTGCGGGTGATCCAGGTTAATTTCCTTCGTTTCCCCATTAACTCAAAGTCGCGACATATAACCGTAATTGGCAAATTTGAAATTGGGCTTTAAAATTCTGGTAGTAACGCTGGTTGCAAATCTACCATGGATTGGAGAACTCTCTTCTTAATGTTTCTGGCAAAATCTATGTTAGAATAGCACTCGGTCCTAGCATATGCACTGAATGCACGGACCTCTTTTTGAGATCTAGTAAAAATCCGAAAAAAAGTGTGGAATAACTTATTTGCAGTATGTTATTACCGACAAAGACGAGGGAGACTGGAATGGTCATTTCTGGCTTATTAGCCGTCGTCAGCCAGTCATACCCAGACCCGAAGTGTGGAACACCCGAGGCTCGAACTCGCGACCTGTTAGAAGTCCACGCCTCTAACCACTGGGCCACGAGCCCGTTGTCCTGTCGGTTTCGATAGGGAATATAGAATGGTAGGGGGCGCTCACCGCTGTGCGGCTGCTGGTTGGGCTCGAGAGAGAGCCCGTAAGGCACCACGGAACGAGTGAGTTCCGTAAGAACGATCGGTGAGCGCCCCCTACCAAAACTTATATGATTTTCACAGACCACCGACTTCGGGAAAATGCAGAAAATAAGAATTGGCCTCTGCATCACCGTCTTAGATCATATCAGGCGTTCCGGAACCGTGAACCGAGACAGATCTCGAAAAAGTTTGAGAAAAAATGGATGCCTCGGACATTCATGAAAACCTACGGTAGATTACCGCCGGCCATATCACGTCTGAAAGCATGGACACGGGATATTTTCGGCTGTCAGCGGAGCAAGGTCTAGTGACATAACAGGGCCCCCAACGGCACATTTCCCGGCCCTGGTGCAAGGTTCAGCAACGTATACCTGGACATTGTAGGCCCTCTGCCTCTGTCCAACAGCCGTTGCTATCTCCTCAACTGCGTGGATCGTTCCACCCGCGGGCCTAAAGCTATCCCTCTGCCTGATGTCGGGGCTTCAACGGTGGTCAAAGAGTTCCTCACTCGTTGGGTTGCCATCTTTTGTGCTGCCTCCACCAGTACGACTTACCGCAACGTCCAGCCTGAATCTCAACTTTGCCAGTCTCTTCACTCCTTTTTGGACTGTACACGCATCCGCACGACGGCCTGTCACACACCTACAGTGAGTGACCGATCTCATGAAATGTTGGCCAAAACTGTGGAATGCGTTTCCGATTAGGAAGGATTACTTAAGTGGGGTTGTTATACTGATTACCGTGCAACATAACCCCATAACATTTCAGACTTTCCAGGATGTCGGTTTTCTAATTCACTTCTCAATAACCTCCTGCATAAACCACACTCGGTAAAAAATGACTACTTAAGTAGCATGCATTTTTCTTATTGATTTTCGATGATCCTATAAATTCAAATACATATTATAGAAAACATGCATAAAATATGCTTTCTTTTGCTGATTTGGTAGGAAATCACATTGTCTTCATATTTTATGCCCGAAGAAAGTGTGTATTTAGGTTTTAAAAAGTTTATAATTATGAGACTTTTAAGACCGTGCGATGTCAATGCATGCAAGACCGCACATGTCCGGTTATTAACGCTCCTCATGAAATGTACAACGCAGTCCGGATCCATTGCAAGATTTCATGAACCCTATGTGGTATCCTCTTAAAGGCATAGAGGAATATATGATTTTCCGTAGGCGGAAAGCATGCACCTCGTAGACTGTAATTACAAAACGCTGATGCAATGGCAGATCAGGCGAAAAATTATTCGGGAGCTGGGAAACTTTTTTAAAACCAAAATACACACTTTCTTCTGACATAAAATATGAAGACAATGTGATTTGCTACCAAATGAGCAAAAGAAAGCATATTTTTGTGCATGTTTTCTGTGAAATATATTTCAGCTTATAAGACCATCGAAAATCAATAGGAAAATGCATGCTACAAAGTAGTCATTTTTTGCAGAGTGTAGTTTTTGCAGAAGGTTCGAAAGAAACGCATTCGAAGGCCGACATCCTGGCGAGTCTGAAATGTTATAGGGGTACGTTGCATGATAATCAGTTATAACAATCCCACTTAAGTAATCCTTCCTAATCGGAAACGCATACCACGATTTTGGCCAACATTACATGAGATCGGTCACGCACTGTACCAACGGGATAGTCGAGCGGTTTCGTCGCCAGCTTCAAACCTTCCTACTCGCCACAGACGATCCGGGGAACTGAATGGACCACCTCCCCATGGTCTTATTGAGCATCCGGCCCACTTCCGAGTGGGACCTTAACCGTTCCGCCGCTGAACTGGCGTTTGGTGCCACCGTCCGAATTCCCGGTGAGATGATCTCGTCGACCCCTCTGGGTGCGGTCGAGGATCCTACCAACCTCCTGGACCTTCTCCGGCAGTTTATGTGGCCTCTCTACTTATTTTGTGCAGCACACTACGTTAGATTCACACGATTCCCAAGAAAGGGAGGATGCAACTAATGCCGCAAGCTGTTTCAACTTTACTTCTGATATCACCGTTCTCCTGGCTTACAAGTTACTCCACGAATTTCTTCTGGAGTGGCCGCAAAAAGGCAGAACGACGGGACGCGTGTGTCGTCTTTACCATCCGCAACGACATCGTGGGATGCCTGCCTTGTCTGCCGCGGAGCATAAACGATCGCTTGATGATCCTCCACCTGCCACTCCCGGAAGGCAAATTTGCCACAATCGTCCGCGTCTACGCTCCCCCACCCCGATAATCGATCCTGACGAGGCGAGGAACAAATTCTATAGGGACCTGCACGCTCTCCTGGCCTCTGGGTTGAAGGCGGATAAGCTGACTGTCCTTGGTGACTTCAACATCCCCACAGGCACAGACCATGTTGCCTGCAGAGGAGTGCTGTGTTCCCATGGTCTCGACGGCTCCAATAACAATGGCCTCCTCCTTCTACGAACCTACGGCGAACACCGACTCATCCACACGAGCACATTCTTCCGCCTCCCGATGCGAGAGAAGGCCACCCACATGCACCCTCGGTCGCGACACTGGCACCTGCTGGACCATGTCATTGTCCGGATGCGAGACTGGTGGGACGTGCTGGTGACAAAGGCGATCCCGGATGCCGACGGGTGGACCAACCGTCGTCTCGTCATCTCCAAGATGCGGATTCGTCTACAGCTTCGCAGGAGACCTCAAAGTAAGCGACCCTCAGGTAAGCTGAATATTGCCTTGTTGTCGCTGCTTGCTCACCATCTCCATTTTAACGATGAGCTAGTTCAACGACTAGACAACCATCCAGTCGCTGCCGCCGTTGCCGCCGTCGCTGCCGCTGACGAGAACACCTCCGTGGAGAACCGATGGTGTCAACTGCGCGACACAGTCCAGTCGACGGCCCTGGTTGTCCTCGGTCACGCACGACGAAAACATCAGGACTGGTTCAGTAGCAACGGCGCAGCCATCGGCAACCTGCTCGCCGAGAAGAAGCGCCTGCACAAAGCCTACTTCGACGACAATAAAGCAGCCTTCTACCGTATTCGCCGCCTTGTGCAACAGCGGCTGCGCGAGGTGCAGGACGCCTGGACGACTCGCAAAACCGAGGAGATCCAAGGGTACGCGGACCGCAACAAATGGAAGGACTCCTTCGCTGCGACCAAAGCTGTCTACGGTTCGTCAACTAAAGCAACCGAACCTCTTCTCAGCGCCGACGGCAGTACGCTACTCACAGAGAAGACACGAATTCTTCAGCGATGGGCCGAGCACTTCCGAGGCGTCCTCAGCCGCTCCTCCACCATCTCCGACACCGCCATCCTCCATCTGCCGCAAGTGGAAACCAACGTCGACCTCGGCCTCCCGCCCTCTCTAAACGAAACCATCAGGGCCGCGCACACCAGTTTTATGTTCTCTGGCATGCTGATGGACGCCTACCGTGACGAACGCCCTGGGATCCGCATCGTTTACGGGATGGACGGCCTCTACCTCAATCAGTGGCGGATGCTATTCCCGTCGCGTGCATCCACGACCACCATCCACCAACTTCTTTTCGTCAACGACTGCGCCTTCGACGCCACCTCAGGAGAGAACATGCAAAAGAGCATGGACAACTTTGCCGCCGTCTGCGACAAATTTGGCCTGGTCATCAACACAGGGAAAACGGTGGTCACGCAGCAACCGACACCCCATGCTGCCTACGTTGCACCCCGAAGCAGCGTGAACGACCCCCAACTGCAAGTCGTGGACAACTTCACCTACCTGTGCAGCGCCCTCTCGCGCTCCATCAAGATCGACGATGAAATAGCCTGCCGGATCTCCAAAGCCAGCCAAGTCTTCGATTGTCTGCAAAACACCGTCTGGAACCGTCACAGTCTCCATCTCAATACCAAACTAAAGATGTATAAGGCGGTCATCCTGCCGACGCTGCTGTATGGAGCGAAGACCTGGATGGCGTACAAGAAACAAGCGCGAAGACTCAGTTCTTTCCACCGCAGTTGTCTTCGACGGATACTGAAGGTAACATGGCAAGACGGAATCTCGGACACGGATGTAATGGAGCGGACGAGAATCCTCAGCATCTACGCTATGTTGAGATAACTGAAACTGCGTTGGGACGGCCACCTCGTGCGGGTGGACGACGAGATATCCAAAGGACTCTTCTACGGAGATGTTGTCACAGGCTCCCGCCGGCAATGAGGTCATGTCCAGCGCTACAATGACACTCTGAAGCGTATACAGATCAACCCGGCAAACTGGGAAGACAAACACGAGGACCATTTGAAATACTGCCAAGCTCTTTCTGAATGTGCAACATAACAGATTTCAACATTCCGGGGTGTAATGGCAAACACGGTTGCCGGCAGTCGTCGCCCGCATCAGGACCTCTGCCGCCCCCACTTTTTTGGTTAAAATTCTGTTCATTTGCCGTGTGGACCATTGTGTGTGTGGAGTGGAGCGCCAAGGTGCGAGCTTGACCGTGCCATCCACCTGCGCCCTCCCCCGCCTCCGGTCTTTTTGACTCTGTCTTGACACCGGGTCCAGGTGGTGGGGAAGGAAAGAGTGCGATATGTGCTGTGAAAGTCTACTACCACTATAAACTAACTCACACACCAGTCACCGTGCCTGCTCTCATCTCGCTGTGGAGCACGCGGTGAACATCGTCGGCAACAAAAGTCAAATTGGCATGTATGAGAAGCACTTTTCAGTCGAAGACTGACTGAAAGGTGGTGGCCTAGGCTAAATGCAGGGCTGAGTTTTACCCTTGTGGGCTTTAAGGATTGTGTACGTCTGCTATGCCATTATTTAGCAAACAGTGGCCCTCTCAGTCTGGTATGCGCTGGCAGTTCTTTGGCACCTGGTTCCCTGCCAGTAGATGCCCTTGTTCTCCCGCTGGGTATGCAGGTCGTGTGGATGGTTGCCCAGCCATCTTGGCCTTTCTGACCCGTTGTTGTGCTGTTGTTGGTTAAAACCCTGGTCAGTTGGTTATTATGGACCAGGGGGTGTGTGGTACGCTCAGGCGCGGGTCCTGCCGTGCTAACCACCTGCGCCCTCTCCCGCCTCCGTTATTCTTGACCATGTCAAGACGTCGGGCCCAGGTGGAAAATGGGGGAGATAGCTCGGTAGATGCTGTGCAAGTCTACTACCACTATAATTTAATTCACGCACAAGTCACCGTGTCTGCCCTCGCCTCGCTGTGGACGCGGGGTGGGCATCGTCAGACGCGGCGGTCGAACTGTCATCACTGTCGCCCTGTGAAACCGGTGGGACTTGAGGACTTTTGGGTGGTCATCGCCTCCATACATCGACTCCTGACCTGATAATCCTGACTGAGAGCTCCCACTCCAGTCCATGGCTAAGCCTTCCAAGGATTTCAACCTCATCGAACTTGAGGATGTGTTGCCGTCCTGCAGCGTTCAACTTGCAACCATCCAGCAGGTAAGCCCAATGTCCCCGGCGAGTGAATGTTCCGTTTCCTTCATTATTTATTCGCATGACAAAGACTAAGAGCGGTTATTATTGCATCGGCTACCCGAAGTTGACTGCAGAATTGCAATACATTTCTGTTTTCCTGCTATTTAGCGAAATATATCGGATGGTTTTTTTATTTAGGACCGATTTGGGGCATACGCGAGTTCTGTAGTTCCCACGAATATGGCTTGATGAGCTAGAGACTACTTACTTACTGGTCAGACCTCTCTGGTCAATACCGAAAGAGAAGACTGTAAAATGGGATATGCAAGGTCCGTGGACATTTCTAGTATCTGGCCAATACGATTCTTTTACGACACAGACGTGAAAAAATTTTCTTTATTATTGTAGCTCGCCTGAGCCATGAACAACCTTCAGTCAGATGCAAAGGCGAACTAGGCATTTCAGCTACTACTCCGTTGATTGGAAATAACAGTTTAAGCATGAAAAGTAAAAATGCCGAGAGCGCGAAAATTTACGTTTAGTGGGTAGACTAAATTTTTGAAATGCATGGTGCCTGTTCATGCGAAAACTGGCAAAACAATAAGGTATAAGTTCAGTAATGTCTAGAAAAGCCTTTTCACGTACACTTCCACTAAATATTTTCCAGGTATTAACGTTGTGTGAGAAATAGCACAAGGCAGAGCGCGCCATGTGTGGTCATGTGTTTCAAGATCTTGTAGCGCAAAATCAACGTACTTTCCCTTTTTTGTATTGCTCGAGTTGAGGTTGATAAAATCAAGGCGGACTGGAATTTGTTGGTGGAGACACCTTAGAAATAAAAGGTTTCATCAGGTCGCATGTTGGCGAGCCAGTCATTGGCTATTAGATTTGAACAGACTTAGAAGATGTTACCGTAGACATAACATTTTTGAATATTAAATAAGCCTTTGTTCGTAAATGTATGTGCGGTTTTTGCTGACGGCGGTGCCGGTTGATTTCCAGGGTATCCTTGAAATCTATGTGAATGCTTTACGATGTCCAGTGCTTTCAGTAGATTACCTACAAGGACAAGTTTTGTGCTGTGCTTGTCGAAACTTTCAAAATAAGATATTCACTGAAAAGCGTTTATCGAAGTAGTAAATGTCGGGCGTTCTTTTCCATGTAGATGACCGTTTGGATTATATTTGAAGACTCGCCCAAACGTGGAACCTCATTGCTGAAATAAAGTAACGTCCACAACAAAAGCCAAAGGCGAATATGTTTTTGATTAATCGAACAACTTTTCAGATATGTAACCCATTTACAAAGTATTCTAATAGAGTAGTTTGCTGACTGATGGCCGCATCCTTTACCTTTATGCACGATAAAGCTAAGAATGGCACTTTTGGTCAGTTTTTCACTTTCTTTTAAAATACTGATAAGTTTTTGCCACAGACGAACGAACCTTACCTTCTCTTTCGTTATTTTTGCATACATTTGGGTTCTATTATATGATATCCGGAAGGTACTAGGCGAATGAGCAAAATGCGAAACGTTTTAGGTGCCTAAAAATCATCATATCAGTTTCTGTCATCGAGTTTCATGAGTTGGATCATAGACTATAGGTGTGGTCAAAGGCTTCCGGATCCCTATTAGTTGCAATTGAGAGTGTCGCAATAAAAGCCCCTTTAAATTTAAGAGCAATTAGGCGAGGGTATAACTTTTTAGAGAGAACATGTTTGCGATTATGTTTTCTCGAATGAAGGCGAAAGTTCGAGTTCCAGTTGTATCTATAAATGAAGACGAAGGGCGTTCGAACATCAGAACATTCTGCTTATTGTTCTGTGGTTTTGAACTCGTTCAGGAGTAGTAGCAACAAGAGAACAAGCTACAGTTATAGGGCGTGTTAGCCAGTCATCGATCGATGGCGCAAGATTGGATGTGACTGCGCAGGACTCTGTGCTCCGGTGCCTCATCGATTAATCGATTAACTGAGTTACCATCCGAGGTCCAGGCTTCAATCAATTCTCGGCCTGTTTTATTTCTGGCATGGGCGATTATCTCTTTGGAAAAATTCTTAAAAGAGGGTCTGGTTTCCACCCCTGACACAAGCTTCCTAAAATACTATTCAAAATTAACCGCAAAAATGTAGATGCTTACGAAAGGTACCATTAATTACAATGTTTTTGCAGAATAGTCCAAAGTTCTTGGACTCAACAGATTTATTGGAGGGAAAGAGATATTGAATTTTTCCAGATCAACTATCCTTATTAGTAATTCAGGGAAACCATTTTCATTCTTTTTAAAACGCAATCTCGAGTTTTCTGTGGCAGTGCCTGGTCTTCGTTAGCCTGATCTTCTAACACTCGCGGTTCTGTAAACTCTCCTAAAATCAATCGCTTTCAGAATCTTATTATTCCTTTCAAATGGAATGCAAACAACTTTTCACGTGGTTTTCCGAAGAAAGAATATGCATTTTAAAAGCAAGTGAATAGTCCGTATAAATACTACTCAGGTGACTCATTAAGGTTCTGAGGAATTCTACCAATTTTACAACTTTTGTACCTTACAGTGCCATAATGGTATTTGAATTTGTCCTCAGGGATAGTTGGCCATTGCAATTCGAAATAATATCGCCTTCACTTCCTTCATTAGGGGAAGGGGTGCAATAGTGTTTTCGCGGTGCTCAGTCCTACCTGACGACGGGGAATTAATGACCTAAAACTGGATTGTTTTCGGGGACTTCATGAAATTCGATCCTAGCATTTCCCAGATGTTTGGATTTACTTCGCATACGAAGTCTCTTTTACCGTCAAATGACTTTTAATTTGGAGTCCAAAAAGAAGCTCGGGTAATTATTGTGGGTTCAGGCCAAATCGAATCAACCCCACACGAATTAAAAGACAATTCAGGCAAGAAAATACCCAGCAATGGACTGTCCGTGTCATACACCCGGGGCAGGGAAATCGACACTAAAGCAGCGCTCGCCTCGCTATAAGGAGAAATCGGAGAGAAAACGCCATCGATAAGTTATATTGCTAAATGGTAAATAAACCGACCTCATCAACAAAAATCAATTTTACTAGGTTCTTGCCCGTTGTTGGTAAGGCAGCCGCTGCAAGTGCAAAAGGCATGGTCCACTTGAAAATGACATTGCGGAAAGAGCATACTGATAGTTAAATAGATATTTTCCGAGATTTTAATAGCAGGAAACTTTATTACTACCAGCCACAGGAAATATAAATCTGCCATTATCAACGGATACATTTAAGGGATTAAGTAAAGTTAAAGGGTAAACGGGTCTAAGCGGCTAGTTTGGCTACTTAGTGCGAGGGTGCCCGGAACCCCCGCCTTATTTCGCCCCTCGTCAATGCCTCCGGGATTTGGAATGACTTTTATGGGTTGTTTGTATGCTGGCAAAACCTATAAAAGCGGAAAATCGTTTGAGGATAATCGTATCAGTCCGCTGCCTGGCACAGAATAAACACCGTGCTGGATATCCGTTGTGTAACGACGGTTTACCCAGATTTACTTAACTGCTTGACAGCCTCTCTGCCCCCCCCCCTCCCCCAGCGTCCCCAAGCAGCTCGAAGTTCAGTATATCAAAAGATGAAAAATGAACGTAGAATAGAAAACGAAACGTCGTTATTGAAAAGCAAGTTACCTTTCCTAGCAAAATTCATAACGTTTTGCATGAACTTCATTGTAGTCGGATATAAAGGGAAGGAAGCTAAAGGAAGCCAGTTAGTCGAACACTTCGCCAGAGATATTTAACGTTAAACACCCAGATTTCTCCCATGGTTTGCAATACTAGCCTATCCCGTAGGATGGCAAAACAGTTTTCCGTTGGTTGCCTTTTAAGAAGGAATGTCAGCCGAAACAAGCTTCTTATGCATCACCTGGGACCTCATTACTACTGGCAAGCGCACACTTCTTTAGAGCAAAATTTCGATAAGACAACAACGGTTTTGCTCGAAGACCTGCAGATTTGCATAAATATCGGTCCCAATGTAGGAAAAAGGGCTGTTTATGAAGCTTGCACAGGTGCACGCCAAACAAAACAATTTCTGCTTAAATATTAGCTTGAAATTCATTCGATGTAAGGATAATCAGAAATCCCCACAGTGTTTCGCTATGGCAGTTTTGTACTCCTCTCTGGCGGGTACTTGCCTCCACAGAGTTGTTTTTTGCCCCCTCATAGTTCAACTTAAACAAAACTGTCAATTCTAATCCCTTATCGAGCTATAAATTTGAGCCCACTTTTCTGTCGCTTCCTCTCTATTTTCAGATATCTAACTCCTCACGTCACGCAACCTTCCTTGTCTTAAATGCGGCTTGTCCTTAATATGCAACTAATTTTCAATGTAACCTTTTGGACCGATTTATTCAGTAGGTCTCACTGGCTCTTCTCAGAACAGTGCCTAATTCCATTCAACCCAATTTTCTTATCGTGGACTGTGCCAGGACTGGCTGTATGCTACACGACCACAGTTGTTTATCAGTACTGCCGTCCATGCCGTAAGTACTGGCCAATGGAGGTGTCTAAAATCGTGCTTTGGGTGCTAAAGACAGGCGCGCGCACACACACGCACATACAACCACTTAGGATTTGGGTTGATGTGCTTGTCCAGTGTCCGCTGCCACGTAGGCAGCCCCACTCCTCTTCTATGATCACCGCAGTCCCTCATATGCCGAACCTGGTCATGACCAAAACCGCATCCATGCGAGCGGAGGACTATGTGCGACCAGCGACACCGCTCGGCAGTGGGTGCGTGGTAAAGGAGTGTATCGCCTGATGAACTCAAACTGCTGGTATATAGGGTTTTCCCTGGAAGACTCTTCACACACACACATAGGTACATATGGTTGAAAGCCATGGGGTTGCATACAAATGCGAGCAGACCTGGTGAGACAGGTAAACATCCTGTTTAAAACCAAGCTCACGTGCCAGAGGTCCGATGCCTATTATCAGTCGCTACGGAAACTCACTCCTTCCGACACACTTTTCGTGAGGTCACGTTGTGAAAAGTCTTGAAAATATGTTTAAGAAATCAGAAGCTATTTAAATCAGTAAATATGCAGTAATCGGGCAACTCTTAGCAAGAGGCTGAAGTGAGGAATACTGAGAGGGTACCTCTACCATAGGTTAGAGACAGTTGGCTTTGCGTTTACTTGAACCCCTTTCTCGAAGCTTTGAGTCTTAGCCGCTGCATCATCCACAGCTCACTGACTTCAATATTATCATTCGGTTAATTTGTCTATCAGCTGGTGCAAGCGGCACAGACCAGCCCCTGCCAGGATCTGGCTTCTCTCATCACAGAAGTTTCCTAGTAAACTGGTCCAGATCAAAACTGTCCCTTATTGCATCTGCTTACCTCGCCGACAAGAATCAAGCCGTGAACTTTTGTCAGGTGACTGTGAAGTACAAACCGCAATATAGTTGACGGACTATTTCTCAAAGGCGAATCTTGCGCCCTCGCACATTCTGTCAACTACTGGACAATGACTCCCCTGCTAACACCCTTTCTTCTCATTTAACGGACTTCAAATGAGACGACAATATAACGACTTCGTTTGACAGCATCTACCCCCATCTAATCAAGGATTCTAGTGTTCGCGAAGAGATCGCATACACGCACAACAAAGCGGTCTGAAATTTGACTAACTTCGTTGGAGTATACGTTGGAGTAGTTGCGTCTTTGCTGTCATGTAAAATCTTACCATACATGAATAATCTCCAAATGCACAGCATGAGGCACTGAGTGAAATTCTGAAATATTATTTTAGTTGGAAAGGGGCACCTAAGTGGGGCATTATATTGGTAACCATGTAGTATAATACCAAAGATATTTCAGTCATGCCGGAATGCCGGAATTTTAATGCGCTTATTTCCAGCGCAAGTAAAAGCACACTCGTCCAAAGTGGCTGGTTAAGTAGCACACTTTTTTCACTTATTCTCGACGTCGTTATAAAGCCGCACACAGTTTATAGGAAGCATGCACAAAAACAAGTTTCTTTAATTAACTTTGCAGTAAATCAAATCCTCAAATTTTCCATCCCAAGAAGAGTGTTTTCCGGTCCTAAAAAGGTCCTCAATTCCCGAATAATTTTGAACCCTATTCGATGTTTCCCTTTCGTCTGCTGTTCCAAATCGACAAGCCGTGCACCTCCCATTTAGGGCTTACCATAAGATTCTTTGTGCTTCTGAGATGATGCCACGAACCACTCATAAAATTGAGCATTGTATATGTGGAGTACATTGCATACTCTACAAACAGCATTAATAAACGTAGGCGATTATGATGCTGCTTTAAGACATATGCAACGGTTTAAAATATTATAATCACAGCTCTCCTTGAAACCGAAAGATCCTGTTTCTCCGATCAGCAATTTTAAGGATGCAAGTAAATATAAAATGACTGAGGAAGGATTTTTCGCACATACTTTTACAGAATATGTTCGGAGTTACAAAGACCTTAAATTAGAATATTATACTACTTAAGCAGTCATTTTCAGCGAACGTTCTTTGCCGGCGGCCAGACAGACACGCATTCGAGGGCCAGCACACCAACTTGATCGAAATGCCTTGTTGCTGTGCAGCGTGATAATCGATATTCCAAACCCACCCAAATAATCCTTACTAGCGCAAACCAGGATTAGTACTTTGGCTATTTTCCCGCAGAAATTGGCCGTCTCCATTTTACATTTCATATGAATCCGTTTATTTCGATCCGGTTTCGGAGTACTTCCCTGGATTGCTGAATGGAAGTTAACTCTGCTAGCAAACACCTAGGCGCCACTCCGAGTCCGCTACCCTGTTGAACCTACAGCCGTCCCCACCGACAAATCGGGCCTGCAGATCACCAAATCTTACCTTTTTCCAATAGTTCATATATCTCAACCTGTTTTGATTGGATATAATATTCTTCCGCACATCTTCACGGACAGCAAGACATATCACGTTCCAATAAGCCCTTGAACAGTTCAGAGCACGTGTTAGATGGACAGACTATGTGAAATTAGAATTTACTCACGGAATTTAGTTTCTACACTGCCCGGAACTAATTAGCCGACTGAAGAGACAGTTCTCTATCTGTAACTGTGTGTATAAGGTTAGCCCATCTCTTTCCTCGCTCCGCTTTGCTAACCAGTTTCGCACTCCCGAAATTAAAAACTTTCAACGTCCTCAAAAACAGCAGAGTTTTGATTAAGGGCTTATTCAAAAGAATCGCGAACATAACGATTGTAGATGGGTTGACGTCTTCGGGCCTGTCTTGGCGTGCCTTCCATCGTATACCCAAGGGGTTATTGGTGTTTATCACAGTGCCATGACAGTGGCGTGGGTAGGAGGGTCTGTTGCGTATTGTTTCATTCCTCAGCGGCGTCCATTTGGTGATGCCGATTAGTCAGGTGGTGGCGGCCATTTCTTGTGTGTTCCCAGGGTGCGTCCGCCTGTGTGCGCGCATGTTCGATCTGTCAGCAAAGCGCCGTGTGCATAATGGGCATACGTAGGGCTTCTCCCCTGTGTGGACACGTCGGTGGCTCTCCAGTAGCCAGGGTCGAGAAAACCGTTTCCCGCAGTCCAAACAAGGATAAGGCATGGTATGGGTGGCTTCGTGTAACCTAGAATAAAGAAGAACGCGTTTTCTGAGTCGAGAAAAAAATCGAGACTACAGTTACCAATTCTGCTATCGTTTACGTTAGCTGGGATCCCCGTTGGATCAATTGCACATACGTGCGCACGTCCCATTCGCATAGCCTTCACGATGTTCCAGTCATTAGGTCCATTTAGCGTGCTTCGGCGCACATGCCGTACATTCATTAGCCGCCTGGGGAGTGCCTAAGGTAACTTCCGTGTGTGGTGCGTGATTGTATAGGATGCGCGGTCAGTAGGTTACGCACTTCTGTTGTAGCGCATTGCGCAACTTTTTCACTAGTGTACACGGATATATGGCAAATTCAAGATAAGTAGGAAAGCGAAATTGTGGCATTAATCAAAAAGTTGAGAAAAAAGAAATGACTACGACACATTCACGTTCTTGTCGGAGTTCTCAACCTTCTTGCGGACGGAGAAAGCACGCGAACGAGATACCGCGGGGAGCGGACGGACACCTCCGGTACGAGCATCCAGGCAGTTGAGCAGTATTCGGCAATCGAGACATACCTGCATGACGACCTAGCATTATAGGCTTTATTACAGAACCTGCAATGGAATGGCTTTGTCAGGCGTGGAGGGCTGCTGCAGGCGGTTCCGTTGGTTCTGCCGCCGGACGAGGAGAAATCGAGGGGTAGACACTGAAACTCAGTAGACCCTTGCTGCACTGAGGAGGCAATAACCTTTGTATTCTTCTGTGACTTTTCGCTTCCCAGGAGATTTGCAATTGAGAAGGCCGCAGCGTTAGGCGACAGTGGAAAGATCTTTGAGGCTGAGCGTGAGTGACTGATGTAGCCACTGTCTGCTGAATGTGCCGGAGTGGCCAGTACGTCTGAAGTAGGCGCAGATTGTCCAACCGAAGCATTTGTTTTCAACTTCGGGGTTGAGGTCAGACTCCGTCGGGGATCAAAGGCTGGTAGGTTACATATGAACAAAATGAGTATCTGATCTGTGAAGTGAGCCTTCACAATTATAGAAAATCAAGGCAAAGGACACAACTCTCTCCCATCACGGCCAAAATAGATACCCGCAGCGACTGCCTCGAAATATCTTAAATGTGAAGGGTTCCAACCAGTCAGAGAACGAATTCCTGTCAGTGAAGGTTCTGCCTATCTAGAGTTTCGGTCATCAAATAAATGCCACAAGTTTGAAAAATTGGGGGCGTTGGACTAGGCAGTCTTATGTGTGTTGGAGTCTTCTGTGGAAATGCCCTGACCGCGGTTGTGATATCTCAGTAAATGCTAACCAAGGTTCTGAAATGTGTTTTTGATCAGAAAAGGTAACTTAAGTAGGGGCGTACATCAATTACCGTTGAGCATAATCCCAAGATATTTCAGTCACGTCAGGGCGCGGGCTTTTTAACGAGCTTCTTTCCGGCCGTCTGCGAAAACCCTACTGATTAAAAAAGGACTACCTAAGCAGTATGAGTTTTTTCTCATTGATTTTCAATGCTTTTATAAACTCAAACATATTTTATAGAAAACATACACAAAATACTAGTTCATTTACCCAAACATTTGAGTCGTACTCAGTGTCCCTTTTGCCAAAGAGTCGTTTTCTCCTCTGAGGTGGAGAAGGACTAGTAATCTGCCATATATGCATAGAAGTGGCAAGCAGGCAACGAGTGGGTAGAAGTCTTAGTCACGGGAGTATTTTACAAACAATGGCAACCTATATTTGCCAAAAACATTGTAATTATAAAGAAATTTGATCTTTCGGTCGACAACAGAGGTACCACAGATAAGAAACGGTATATTTCAGCGGAGATTATAAGCTCTACCAGGTCAAGCGTTCAGTTCAGGCTTTGACAAACTACGTCTCATGCTCAGGCAGTTCTTGATAAAATTGCATACGAAATTTTTACTTCATAAGACAGCTACTCAAGACTTCTGTATTAAAATGAATCCGCTAATGCTGGTCGAATACACGCGTTTGTTATTAAGACGTCCATATATAAAATAAACAACGTTTCAGTGAAAGTTTACCACTTACCAAATACTGCGGCCCCGTAACTGACTGTCCGTAGGAGGGGGAAGAAAGACTGTTCCACACTTTCATTCTCTCGTATTGATGGCTCGCCCATGCTTGAGATAAAGTCAGAGCGCAATACATACCTCTATATATATGTGTGCGTGAATGGCGAAGGGGTGGATGGGGGTGGGAGGGAAAGACCGGGGTCAGTAGGATCAAAGCATGGCGATTGCGCGTTTCCCGCTCATAGCAGCTCAGATCTCTCCTACCTCCCACAGACAGTAATTGGTTGAGCTCGATCGCGCTTGGCGTTTATCCCCCCCCCCTCCCCAGAACCGATTTCACTCACTTCTGTAGTCTTATTGGCCAACGGTCTAGCGCAACTTTGATTGGCAATAAGCAAAAGTGTTTGCCCACCCTCCAGCTACCCTGTGAGACTGGTTGGCCCAATACGAGCGTCAGCATTCCGAGTCTGAGCGCACTGGGTAATGATTGGACAATTCGGTCTTGACAAGGAGCAACCTGCCACGTCCAGACCAAAGCCGACTGATATGCAATTAATTATACATTTACAACTATTTGCTCGAACGAGTAAATACAGTAAAAACAAGCTCCAGCATGGCAAACGAATAGAATCTTCGGAGGAAAATTAACCGAACGTACAAATTAAGCAAGTCCCCAACTTCCGATATTATCGGATAGTATAAGTCGCATATTTCTCAGTGACAGTTATCAGAAGCAGTAGAATACAATTTCGTAGAATTAAAGGGATAACCGGCACAATCATACAGCCCAATACAGGTATGCTAAGATAACCTCGTCAGCATACAAAAAGTGTGAAATTAGGGAAAGAACGGTTGAGTTGGCCTATTTAATCAAGTGCATTCAATTTGTAATTATAAGAATTCTGCTTTTACAAGATCCGACCACGCCTTCCTTAGATTGCGAATTAATAAAGGGAATTTAAATTGCGATGAAAACGATTTAAATTAGTGAGCACGTAGTCCCCCGAAGCCCGCATCAAACAAGGTAATGACTCAGGGCCAAAACATGGTCTGAATGCGCACCAAGCATTCATGCCCTGTCTCAAGAAATGTCATCTATCCAAAACTCCATCTGGCGGTGAATTTCCCTGGATGCGATGCGCCGTCACGCTTCCGCAGTAAAACGCAGACTTTATACTGTGATTCCATCATAAAATCCAGCAAGGGCATTGTCGCAGAGCTCAAGGCAATATCCCTTTTATGTAGTTGAAGATTATGAATGCGGTCCGGCCAACCGGACCCCATTAACTGATGCTTACGAGAGCGCTCTATGGCTGAAAACTTACTCATCTTGGGTGATGCTTGTTGAGAAATCCTTGAAACGACACTTTTTCGAGTAAAGAGGGTGCCGCTCCTTTCGGTTAGGCGTGTCACTCCCACTATTGTGGTTAGGATCTCTTTCGATCGCACTCTGTCCGCCCGCCAGTTTGTTACTGACGACAACGAAAGTTGTGCCATAGGACACATACCACATATAATACATAAGCAGCTCACTAAGAGTGCAATAGGCCAGACGCAGACGCCTGTTTCATGGTCGTTTCCGATCATCAGTACGCCGTAGGCCATATGAAGTGAGGTATATAAACATGTCAGTTAGGCGTATGGCCTATGACGTACTGATGATCACAAGCAACCGTGAAGTAACTGTTTGCATCTGGCCTGTTGTCCTCTTAGTGAGGTGCCTCTCTTCTTTCCGTAGGCTGTTCTTTAATATCTACTAGCCGGTGTTACATGGCATGGTGTCATTACCTGTTAGTTCCTGATCCTCCCCCTCCTCCACATGAGGAGACCTTTCTACTGTCACAGGGGACATCGGGAGAACGAATCACGCATACAGCCTTCACACCACGGTTCTGCAGGTTGGCGGATTCCACACAAGTTCAGTGTCCATAGTGAGTGCCGAAGCATCCGTCGCGCTTACTGAGATCGCGTGCCATTCACAAGGGGCTTCACTCAAGCCAGTAGCGGTGGCCAAATAAAACTCAAGAGTGTAATACTGGTTTAGCTGGCAGCCGTCCGTTTTGTCAATGTCGCCGGTAATCCAGGTGCTAGAAGAAGTCGACAAGACGGGCTTTATAACTTGTAGAATATTGAATCGTTCGGGCTGAAGTGGCTGGAGTCAGCACTCATTAAGATAATGTGCTGTGATGCCAGTGTCAATTAGATGTACAGCAGAATGTAGTAAGCGGATGCAGAATTCTTGCGTAAAAGCATGGGAAATCAGAACACAGACAGGCGTCTATAAATTAGCCCACTGGTCGACTGGGCTGAAGGTAGGTCAATGTGAGCAAAGCAGAAACACATATTAGGAGAACTTTTAGTCATCGCATTAAGGGTCGGGCAATGACACGTGAACTCCCGCCATTAAAAACGGGTTGACCCCTAAATTGGGGGAGGGGGGAAGGGCGGAGGTCGGAGTTAGTTTTGGGAGGGCTGGGGTTCAAGATAGGACACGAGAATGGGAACCCCCCTGGAATTCAGCGCAAGGCCACCTATAGTGCAGGAGGGGATACATGACCTCGTGTCCAGACAGTTAAAGACCCACAGTAGTTACAAGTATTTCGGACAGACTTTACGCGACTGTTCCAAAATTCACGGTAGTCACAGCGGTACGCTTTCAATAGAGATAAACGAAAGAATGTGTGGCTTGCACTTGTGACTTCACGCATCTTTCATGCCCAATTTGGATGCCAGAACTGGTAATTTAGCCGACTAGAACTGTATATACAAGAGAAGAACTCAGAAATGTTGTTCCTCGTGCGTAAGTTTATGTGGCACAGCCGTGGCAAGGTTAGCAACGTTGACCGCAACAGGCGACTGGCAGAGTTCGCTAGTCATGATTAAGCGATGTTGGCCAGACATCAGATAATTAAGTCAGATGGCCGGCGCGATGACGCTGAGAATGAAGGATGGTTGAATACTTGAGGCAGCGCAGATAGCAAGTATGGCCTGGTTAAAATAGTCTGATCAATGAAAAGTAGATCAGGGCTAGAGCCGAATGAAAGTAGTTGACCACAGAAATGAAACAGAGGCCACTATAGACGAGAGGGAGTCACCGATGTTAAATATAAACCGGCGTTTTCTTGACGTGAGCGATCAATTTTCACAGGCTATAGTTGCCAGTCAAATGAGCAGAAACAAATTAACCACTAGGATGCAGCCTGATGACGAAACGTTATTCAAAGCTGTGTCAAAGTTTACTGACGTATTTTGACAGAATAAAAAACGCCCTCAATATCAATAAAAAGGCAAGAGATGAAAATAAGAAGGATAAGGAGGACGGACAAGCATATATTTCTATGAATAACGGAGGTAGTATGCATTCCGAGGCGATATGTGTGTGAAACCCTCAGCACCTCCCCTAACGTCCGCCACCTATCCAAACACATTCTTCACGCCCACGCATAATCGTCTGTCTTGCCGATGTTACCACGATGTCCCCCTAGCTCCCCAGAGCGATTATCTCCCTTACACTTTTCATTTCGTCTGACGACGGGTTGGTGTAACCGACTTGAAAATTCACGAGTATACATCGATTTTCCGACGAGCCTTCTCCTTCTAATATATTTCTATCTATATCAAAGTGTCCAGAAGATGTAAAGCCACTGGGATCTAGCCGATCCCCGACATGTTTAAGAGGATTGAAGTCAGATGACAGGCTAAGTCAAAGAAGTGATTTTAGATTACCACCTGTTTTCAATATTGAAACTAGGGCAGATCTCTTCACTCCGAAAAATTTGCCATGATGCATACCTGATCGGTGGCAACTCGCTGCCCTTCGGTATCATCCTATACTTCTCAGCTGCAATACTCCAATAAACACTGAACGGACTTCATAACCCGTTAATTCATATCGCTGCCCCTACATAAGAAATCCAACGCCTAGTCCCCTTACAGTACTTATCAAGTCATCGCTGTGACATTTAGCTGACAATGGTATTTCGTTTACCATTAACCACGAGGGCCACAGCGTCCCGATGGCATTCTGGTTACGGTCATGTGAGTTTGTCTACGACCACGCAGGACTGCCCAGCAGCATCCATTCCACTATCCTTGCTCACACAATGTTTAGACCACCAGACGAGGCTAAGATTACTGGACATGGGTGCGGGTAGGATGAGTGGTGGGGTTGAAGACGTGTCTACATGTGAGGCACACGTTTCGATTCATAGTTAAACGCTAACCCGGCCTCAAGGGATTCCCCCAGACCACACACCGAGAACGGTTGTCACAAACGCCTACAGTAAGAAAAAACCCATTGCAGTCTGCACTTTATTGTGAAGAAGGATCAAGTTATACAAAAAATTAAGCTGGACGAGTGGTGGTTTAGGGAAAATGCCAAATATTGTCCCAACACCCCAAAAAATTTCCAAAAAATAGAAATATGACAATGGGAGACAGGAAACGACATCAGAGTGAGATCAGGGAGAATAGATACCATAAAAATGTCGGGCAATGAGCACACATTTGGAAACGACAAGATAGAGGCCGGTTTGCAATCAAGAGGGAGTTAACTCTGAAAGGGCACTGAATTGACTGCTGTTCAAGAAATGAAGAACCCTTGAACAACGATCCCATTCAGAAGCCGGTCCAAGCAAGCTGTTGTAGTCATCGGGTAGGAAGGATTTTTGGCAAGAATTTTATTCATGCAATTGCTGCTTAACCGGCTAGTGTGGTATTCAGCCTCGCTCGTACGAATAGGCAGAATAGGCGTGCACATGGCGTGACCTTGTTGGGCAAATCCATCTCACGACTGCAGGATTGATGAATCTGAATCCTGACGATAAGTTAATCTGATAACTCACAAAGACATCAATCCGTACAGTCGAAATTAGATAAGCGACCTCTCACATGACGGTAATGAAATACTTCAGGTGATCTGCAAGGCAGCATAGGCGTGTTACTAGCAGTTTTTGCAAAATGGTGTGTGATGAGAATGCTACACTGAGGCGCAATTGTGCCACGCACAATATGCCCCAATTTTCAGATGGGCGGGTTATAAAAGGACAGTTTATTTGAATTTCTACCGTGATCACAACCACGCCCTTGCGATTGCATGTTAAGAGGG